TACAGGTGCATGCTACCACACCCGGCTAATTTTTTTGATTTATTGTAGAGATGAGGTCTCGCCAAGTTGCCCAGGCAGGTTTTGAACCGTAGGCTCAGACTTCAGCCTCCCAAAGTGCGGGATTACAGGCTGAGCCACCGAGCCAGGCCTGGATACATTATTAACTGAAGTCCATAGGCTATTCAGATTTCCCTAGTTTTCACTAACGTTCTTTTTGTGTTTCAGGATTGCAAGTTACTTTTTTTTTTGAGTCAGAGTCTCACTTTGTCACCCAGACTGGAGTGCAGTAGCACACTCACGGCCACTGCAGCCTCAACCTGCTGGGCTCAGGCAATCCTTCTACCTCAGCCTTTCAAGTAGTTGGAACCATAGGCGCACACAGTTTTTTTAAATTGTAGAGACGAGGTCTCGCCGAGTTACCCAGGCTAGTCTTGAACCCCTGGGCTCAGGTAATCCCTTCGCCTCGGCCTCCCAAAGTGCTGAGATTACAGGCTTGAGCCACCAGGCCCAGCTGCATGCTGCATTTAGTTGTCGTGTCTTCTTAGGTTTCTCTTGGTGGTGGCAGTTTCTCAGACTTTCCTTGTTTTTGATGACCTTGCCAATTTTGAGGAGTACTGCTCAAGGATTTTGTAGGGTGCCCCACTATGGATTTATCTGATATTTTCCTGATGGTAAGACTCATGGAGTTCACTGGGAGGAAAAGACCACAGAGGTGCCGTGCCATTTTCATCGCATCACATCAAAGGCACATGCAACCAACATGATGTAGGGCGTTCTTCATTGACCTTGATCAGCAAAAGCTATGTCTGTCAGGTTCATCCACTGTCACTTTCTGCCTCCTCTTTCCATTCTGTGCCCTTCAATGTCACTATGTGCAGCCCACACTTGAGTGGGGAGCTATGCTTCCTGCCAGAGGGACCTTTAACACATGAAATCAGATCAGGTCACTCTAGTGCTCAAAACCCTCCTCTAAACTAGGTGTGGTGGTGCCCACCTGTACTCCCAGCTACCTGGGAGGCTAAGGCGGAAGGATCACTTGAATCCAGGAATTCGAGACCAGACTGGGCTATATAGCGAGACCACAAGTCTCAAATGAACAAAACAGCAACTGTCAGCCGACTCCTCATCTCACTCAGCAAAAGCAAAGCCTCCTGGGAGCCGCAGGCCCGGCATGATTGGACCTGCCTCCTCCCGGCCCCGCCTCCCCTGGTCCCCGGCCGGCCTCCCCCAGTCCTCAGCCCCGCCTCCTCCCGGCCCCCAACTCCGCCTCCTCCTGGCCCCTTGCCTTTGCCCCACACACTGGTCCCCTCTCAGTGCCTTCCACACACCTGCTTTGTTCTGGCCTTTGCACCAGCCGTTTTGTCCTGGAGGGCTTTTCTCTAGAGATTTGCATCTCATTCCTTTGCCCCGGCAGGTGTCTGCTTAACTACCACTCTCTCAGTGAGTCCTTTCCTGAACCTTTATATAAAACGGCAGCTCTGTGTCCACCTACAGACGCATGGGTAAACAAAATGTGGCCGTTCCATACCGTGGAATATCACTAAGCTTTGAAAAGGAAGGAAATTCTGACACAGCAGCCACATGGATGAATCTCGAGGTGAAATAAGCCAATCATAACATGACACTGTATGATTCCACTTACATGAGGTCCCTAGAAGAGTCAAATTCACAGGGACAGAAAGTGGCACAACGGTCATCAGGGACTGGGGAGAGGACACAGGGGCTGGGGAGTTATTGTTTAATGGGTATAGTTTCCATTTGGGAAGATGTGGAAAGTTCTGGAGATAGATAGTGGAATGCTCATGGTGCGTTCTTCCTGTTACTTCCCGCCGCAGATCCCTCTCTGGCGCCCAGCTGGGCAGGAAGCACAGAGGCCAATACCTCCAAGCCCCCGATGCTGTCCCTGGCTCTCGGGTCAGCAGGTTCCCTCTGGATTGCAGCTGAGCAGAATTCCCCGGCAGGCCAGGATTCCACGCAGCAGGATGCAGCTTTGGAAGGTGGATGCTCTTGGTTACACCTGCTCCTACTCTTCCCACCAAAAGCACACTAGTCCCTCTCCAGGTGATGGGGGTGGGGGGTGATGGGCCCAGGCTGAGGCCTGAATAGACTCTCTCCTCCTGCAGGCCCCCGGCTCCGGGGGGTGGCGCTGGCCTTCTCGCTGCTCCTGGCCTCGGCTGGCCTTCTCCTGGGCTTCGTCTGGTGTTGTTGCTCCCCCGGCCGGCTGGCCTGGCAACCTGGTGCCCGTGGCCTCTGCCTCGGCTGTGGTGCAACCGGCCCCATCTGCTGCTACACGTGTCCTGACCGGGTTGCCCCTGGGGGTCTGCGGCTGAATGGGCCTGCCATGCAGGATCAGGAAGGCCATCCCTAGAGAGGCTGCGGGCATCGGGGGAGGAGGACAGGCTCTGGGGTCAGACCTGAGTTCTAACCCCCAGCTTTGTGTCTGAACCCCTAACCCCCTGAGACTGCCCCTCTGGAAAATGGAACAGTTTGCCAGGTTGCTGAGGGCTGCAGGGGTAATCTGCACACGGTAACTGGCCCTGCAGCTCAGGTGATGGCTGGCATTCTGCTGGGTTGGGGAGGGCAGGACCTCCAGGCTCAGGGGAGGGAGCGAGGACCTCTCTAGTCCAAAGCCGCCCTGCTTTGCTCTTGGACCTGACCCGCCCTGCCCTGGCCCACTGCAGCTTCCACTGAGTCAAGCCCTAGTCAAACACACAGGAGACCCCTGGCGGGGATAGCACCGTTTATTAAGAAAAATCAAGACAAAGACCACAGAGGGTCCCTTCTAGGACACAGAGGCCAAGCGTCCAGCCCCACAGTCTGGGGCTGCTGGTGGGAAGGCGCTCACCCCCAGCCGGGTCCTCAGTCTCCCACAGGCAGGGCAGGGCTGTCAGATCCCCTCCCAGCCCTCCCAGTCAGGAGTCCCGGCTTCCCCCACCCAAGGCACGAACTCTTCTGACCACCCACGGCTCCCCCCAGAGTTCCTGGGCCTTCACTTCCAGATGAGTGGGGGGCGTGGCCTGGCATGGGCAGGGAGACCCTCTCAGTGCTGGGCTCTGCCAGTAGCAGCTCCTGTCGAGTCGGGGTGGGGTTTCCCTTGCGGCCTCTGAGGGAGGGGCCTGGGCTTGTGTTGGCAGGAGGGGGCAGGAATGCAGGCCAGGAGGGCGTGGTGGGAGGAGAAGGCTGCCAGGAGGGACCAGCGGCCGGCTAGCTGGGTGGAGGTGAGGAGGCTGGGACACAGGCTGGTGGGGGGCTGCCTGCCCAGGGGTGAGCTGCCTTTTGCTCCACAGCTGGCTCTGAAGAGAGTTCCCAGCCTGGAGGGAGTGGCAGAGGTTCCTGCGACGCCCTCTGTCTCAGGTAGCTGGTAAGGCACCAAGCTGCAGGCCATGGGTGGCTCTCACAGAGCGAGGACTGCCTAAGGGCCACAGAAGTGGCCGCCCGGCTCTATCTTCGGGGGCCCACTGGAGGGAAGTGGGGCAGTTCCGGGCCCACCTGGCCGCCGTGCCTGACCCCAAGTCCTGAGTCCTGACCCGCTCCCATCCAGCTTGCCCTGCCCACCAGCCTCGCGGCTTCGCCTCGCTGCGTGGGGGGTGGCATGCCCACCTCCAGTCCAGCCCAGGGCGGTAGCAGCAAAGCGTGGCATCGCCTCAGTTTCTTACAAAAAATTAATAATAATAATATTAATAATAATATACTCGACGTCGTCAGGCGGGGGGCGCTGTCTGAGAGTCCGTGTGGGGCAGGCGTTGCCTACGAGGGGCAGGGGCGTGTGTTGGCGCCGGCCTGGGCTCGGTGCTGCAGGTCCAGGGGCTGTGGGGGCAGCGCGCCGGGCCGGGCGGAGTGCAACACCAGGTTCTTGATGCAGCCGGTGACGCCCGAGGAGAACCTGCCCCCGGTCAGCGTGGCCACATTGGGGGCTCCGCCTGTTTGGGGAGGGGCCAGGAGGGGGCCTGTGGGCTCCAGAAGCCAGCAGGCGAGGAGGCCCATTCCCCCCCTCGAGGACGGCACCCCGTCCGAGGCCCGGCTGGGACTTACCGATGTAGACGCTGCCCTTGGCGTTGACGGCCACGTTGGGGCCTGGGGACTGGCCGCTGACCAGCTCCTCACCATCCACCTGGATGGAGCCTCTGCGGCCCTCTCTGCAGCAGGACTGGATCAGGCCCCTGACCGCGAGCTCCCCCATCCCCCCAGCCCCATGACAGTCCCTTCCCTCTGGCTCCGAGACTCCAGACGGAGAAGCTTGTCCCCACCCCCAACCCAACCCCCTTTCCCAGAATTTGCTCTGCCCCACTGGATGAGAGATCCAACACAGCTTCCTGCAGCCCGGCCTGGGTTTCCTCCCCTCCTGGGGTGCTCACCTGCCCCAGGAGTTCTGTACTCAGCCAGGTGGGTGCTCTCCCTCCCCTGGCTTCAAGTCTTGTCTCCCAGAGCTCAGTGCCTGCCACCCTGCTCGTGGTGGGGCTGTCCTGTCCCACTCCAGAACTCTGGGCCCCTCTCCCGAGTGCCCATTTGGCTCCCTTACCGCAGCGCGGTCACCCGGTGCCACTCGCCGTCATTGATGGGGTCTTCAGAGACGAGGCGGGCCTCCCCACTGCCAAGCTGGTAGCTGCAGTGACAGAGGCCCGAGGTGGTGTGAGCTGCGGCAGGGCTGGAGGTGGGGTGGGCAAGGGAGCCAGGGAATGGGGGAAGGGCCGGTGCTGGGACCCACCTGAAGACAAGGTGCCCGTCCTGAAGCCCGAGGTAGATGAAGTCCTTGCCTCGGCTGGCCTCACCCACCTCCTGCCAGGGAAGCACAGGGACTCTGGGGTCTCCAGCCTGGCGAGCTGGGGCCCTGGGTCTGTGGCCTCTGCCTTCCTCTCCCCACCGCCCTGGCCCTTGGAGGGCCAGCCTCCTGCCCCAGGAGCCCCGAGACCCGGGCCGGATGCCCGACTCACCACGCCCTGCCAGAGCAGGAGGCCGCTGGCCGTGCTGGTCTGAACCTCCAGCTCAATGGTCTCGGGCACCTCGGGCAGGCTGTGGGGGAGGGGTGGGTGAGGAGACAGAAGTCCCAGGTTCCCGACCTCCCTGCTGGGCCCTCAGGTCCTCCCAACACCCACGTCTCACCTCCTGGAGAAGATGCGGCCAGGGAAGGCTAGGAAGCCGTCGTCATGGAAGTAGGCTCCGTACTGTCCGGGGGCGTCTGTGAGGGTGGGGTAGTGAGATGCCGCTGCGGGCGTCCGTCCCCCATGGGTTCCCCAGACCCCACTCCATGCCAACCATGACCACTGGGGGCTCTGAACCTGCAGTCCCCAGGTACCCAAGGGGGCTGTCAGCAGAATTCAGGGGGCCCGTGAGCTTGGACGGGAGAACATTCCACCTTCGTGTTCATGCAATTCTCACTAAGATGAGCACCTCCTTCCATCCCGAAGGAAGGCGGCTACCAAAGCAGGAGGAGCAGGGCCTGGGACCGTCACTAGCATTTGCCTGTCATATTACAGTAGTGGCAGATATTTCAAAAAAGCCTTTACACTTCCTGCTATTTTGAAGTTGTGGTAGCAGACCACCACTGGGTTCTGGAGTTCAATGTGTTAATAAAGCAGCATAGACAGTGCCAGCCAGAGGACTCCAAAGCACCACGGTACCTTCATTCTAGTGTCATTGGCTTCCTTTGAAAACTGGGCATTTTATTTCATGCAGTCAGCAGGATCCAGGTCACGTGATAGCAGCCCTATTTGCCAAAGTCTGTCTGGCTTCAGCTCTGAAAGTCCCACATCCCAGAAGCCCCTCAATCCTGAGCAAACTGGGATAGTTGGGCACCTCGGTCCATGGCATCAACGGTTCAGAGCCCGTGTGCTCTCCCCATCTTACAGGTGGGCAGGGAGTGGCAGGCCTGGACTGCAGCCTGGGCCTTTAAGCGTCCACACTGGGCGGCTCTACCATCCGCTACCCTGTCTGCTCACAACCCATCCCACAGGCCAGCACTGGCCACGGCAGGCCTGGCAGCTGCAAGGGCGGGGATACTCTGCCACCCTCCACCAAATGGTGAGGAGAACAGCTGTTCTCTGCCAAGCACCTGCGGTGTGCCTGTGCAGAGAGCTTCACGTCTGGCTAAGACACCATTTCACTGAACAGAACCCTCATGGCAGCCCTGCGAGTGGCTGATATTAACAACAGCTGAGGCTGGGCTTGGTAGCTGGGCCTGTAATCCCAGCACTTTGGGAGGCCGAGGGGAGTGGATTGCCTGAGCCCGTGGG